ACACACACAGAGAGAGAGAGAGAGAGAGAGAGAGAGAGAGAGAGAGAGAGAGAGAACACAATTCAATATCATAGTTGATGTACCTGTAGCTACAGTTTTTGTGAAACCTCTCTTTTCAAGTGCAGGTCAAAAGCATCTATGAAATCTGTGTGTGTGTGTGTGTGTGTGTGTGTGTGTGTGTGTGTTCATGCACCCATGTGAGTTTCTGAGTAGAGGCCAGAGGGCAACTTCAGCTATTATTTCCCAGATGTCAATTAACTTGGTTTTTGTTTGTTTTAAGTCAGGGTCCATCTTTGGCATGAAACTTTCCAAATAGATTAGTTTGCTGACTAGGGAGCCCTAGGCACCTGGCTGTCTTCACCCCTCAGTGCTGGCCTTACAAGCAGATGCCACCATGACCAGACTTTTTAATGTGGGACCTGGGGATCAAACTCGGGTTCTCTTGGTTGCAAGGCAAGCACTTTTCTGACTAAGCTATCATCCAACCCAACCCCTAACTTTTGAGACAGAGTCTCAGGTAGCCCAGGCTAGCCTCAAATTCACTGTGTCGTCGAAGGTGACCTTGAACTTCTGATCTTCCTATTTCAGCCTCTGGAATGCTGTGGTTACAAGCATGGGCCACTGTGCCTAGTTTACATGGCACTCCCGAGGGCTTCATGCATGCAGGGCAAGCACACTACAAAACCCAGACCCTTCCAAGAAACCTTCAAGGAGATCAAGTCATCTCTTGCTTCTCGAGGAAGCTGACGGTTTGAGAAACGGTCAGGGAAGAGCTAACAAATCTCAGCAAACAGCGGGTGTGTCAAACTCCAAACCTTGTTGATTTGACGCTTTCAACAGGAAGTCACTGTTTTGCTTACGGAAGTTAGCCAACGTAATAATCAGTTCTTTCTGGCCAGTGACAGCCACTCCAGTCCATCACTGGAATGGATTACTGATTGATAAATAAGGCAAAGTCATTCATTCATCTTTAAATTGTATCTTGATGCTGTAAATTGTAGCCAATGCTTATAGGGGTGATTTTAAAGCTCACAAATTCCAGAAGCTTAGCTGAGGGACAGCAGTCTTTGAGAAAAGAAACTTGAAAATTCTCTCCCTCCTCCAGTCTAGTTTAAAATAACAAACCACACTGTTTGAGTAGATTCCATAAATGATCACTTCCATCAGTGATCATAGCTCTTGGATTGCTCTTACTCAAAACCACATCAATCAAGAAGGTAACATTAGTGGTACATACGCTTCCTGGTACCTTGATACCCAGGAAATAGGAACCGCAACCATTGGGCTCCTGAGGTTTGTAGCCAGGTCTGGGCATTGGCGCCTTTCCTAGCAGGAAGAAAGGAGAAAAATAGAAGAAATACTTAGAAGTCAAACATTTGACATTCATTCATCAAATAAAAATTCCTAAAAGCACATTCCATTTTTCCTTTAAATGCCGCTGCCCCGTAAGATAGTCACATTAAATCAGTAGTGAGGAGGTCACCAAAAAATAATTCACTTTACCATTTTACCAACTGAATCATCTCCTCCAGACAGTGTGGGGCCACGCCCCCTGTACAGGGCAGCACACTGCCTGGTCTCATGAGGACAGACTCAGAATCGTAGCTGTGCCATCAGGGATTAACTCTCTGCACTGTGGATGCTGAGGGCAGCTAGGCAGGTGCAGATAGCATCACTGACCACAGAACAAAGGACCTCGGAGGAAACAGTCTGGATGCTTTGACTTGTTCATGGGGCTTAAGAATCATTTTATGATGTTGCAAATGTGTCAAAGAAGCTGACTCAGTTGTATTTGGGGGTGGGGGGGGGAGTCATCATAAAACATTGACCCCACTGCTTCCTGATGTCACAGGACAGGAGGAACCTATACCGCATGCTCCTGTCTCCATGAGCTCTGCCGTGCCTTCTCCATGAGCTCTGCTGTGCCTTCCTCCACACAAGGAACTGCCCATCCCTCTGAGACCCTCTAGGGTGGTTATGGAAGAGATGAGATGCACAGTGCTGGAGAAGTAGAATTTCTGGGCCATGTGATGATCCTGTGTTTAATGTTTGAGGGTTCCAGAAACACAGTTTTCTCTAACAGCTGTACCATTCTTCATCCTAAGCAGCCATGCACAATGGTTCCAACCTCCCCATATCCCTGTCCTTAACTGCAGGGAACCTACACGGGGAAATCTCTCCTTTTCCTGCTTCCTGGATCAGAAGACTTGGGCTCCACTCAATCCCCGGAAACTTGCTGTTGCTGTATACACACTTTCTTTGCCTCTTTAGTGTAGGGAGATCTTCCTAGGTACCTGGGGTGCTGACCACGCCCACTTGGGCGTGGTCACAGGTGCATTCGGGGATGTGTGGGATATAGGGCTGAGGAGAGGCACCCTAGTCCTCTCTGACCTGGCTTATCAATTTCTCATGTAAGTGATTTCCCCTCAATAAAATTAACCAACAATATCCATATCCCGTGTACAGTTATCTTCCTCTTACACTTTAGCATCTTCTTTTCCTCTTAGGGCTTGTATTTCCTTTCTGTCCTTCAAATATCTCCATACACATTCATCTCCCTTTCATATTTTACATTTGTTTTTCTCTCTCCTGAACTTTGGCAAGCCTTATCAAATACATTTTCTGGGTCTACTTTAAAATACTGAATTATGTTGTTCCATTTACTAATTTTCTTTAGACTGACTAATCTGTTTAATTGATCTACTGAAGTTTTTCTTTCAAAAGTGATCTTTCATTTGAATTATATTGATTTCTCCCTTCAGATTTGAGGACTCACTTTTCATTAGGTTTTGTTTGTAAAACTATTCTTTCTGTTTATTCAATCATTTGAAATATTATATTATGATTTCTTGTCCTTGGGAATTCAGGTCCCCAGTTTGTTTTGGTTTTGTCTGGGCTTTGGTTTAGGGTTTTGGTTTTTGTTGTTGTTGTTGTTGTTGTTGTTGTTGTTGTTGTTGTTTTTTCTTGCCAGAGTCTCACCATAGATAACCCATTCTGACCTTGAACCCAGAGTCTTTTAGCCTTAAACTCCTGAATGCTAGGACCACAGGCATCTGCCACCATGGTTGGTTAATTCTCACATTTTAAATGCTGATTGCCTTTTTCCCATGATAGATTATTGATATGGAGTGTCAATTTTTTTTTAGTAAGAATTATTTAAAACAAAAAGACTTATTTTGGGGTAAGAAAGATGTTCAGTGGTAAATAGCACATATTGCTCTTGCAGAGGACCCAGGTTTGGGTCCCAGCACCCAAATCACGTGACTTTACGACACTCTGTAACTCTAACTCTAGCAGATCCAACACCCTCTACTGGCCTCCACAGGTACTACATCCAAACACACATCTCACAAACACACATACATATAATTTTAAAATAAAATTTAAAAATGTAAAACATTTGTTTGTTTTTAACTATGTGTATGTGTGTGGCTCTGTGTATGTGCTCGCTAATGTCTGTAGAGACCAGCGGTTTGGGACACCCTGTGAGCTGGAGATGCAGGAAGTCATGGGATTTGGCTTAACCACTGCACCATCTCCCTGGCCCTCAGTTCTCGTGTCCTGGGTGTATAACTACAGATCAGCCATTAATCTCTCTTGGTGTTGGTTGTTCTAGAAGGGTAGCAGGGCCTTGAAACTATAAGAGTGTGCTCTGCCATGGGTCTATGCTCTACCCAGCCGCAAACACTTCTGCTGTGACTGTGAGAGTCTCAAGCTAGTTAAGTTCTTACAGTTACTGTTCAGCTTGGGGCTCCTCAGGCCACAGTTAAATACTGGATGAAGTGTGTATGAAGAGTGCGAGTGCATTGGAAGGGTCTCAGGTAGACATTCTGCACCTTCATCGCCAGGAGCACCTTGCTTCTTTCTTGTAATATTGGGTTGAGAGTTTGTAATGTCTTTGTGAGTGTGGGTGAGTTTATCCGTGTATGTGTGTGGTGTGTGCATGTGTATGTATGGAATGTGTGTGCTGTGAGTGTGCTGTATGGTGTATGTGTGTGTGGTGTGGGGCTGTGGGCAGAGTATGTGTCAGCATGTGTGTGTAGTGTGGTATGGTGTGTGATGTGTGTGTGGTGTGTTTGCATGTGTGGTGTGTGTAGTATGGTGTGGTGCGGGTGTGTGTATGTGTGGTATATGTGTGTTGTGTATGTAGTGAGGTGTGTAGTGTGGTGTGTATGGGGGTATGTAGTGTGTATGTGTGGTGTGTATGTGTAGCGTGTGGGGGTGGGGAGGTGCCTGGAATTTCTGCCCTACAGTGTGGGATTAGAAGAACCACACTGCCAGGTCCAGGTGCCTGCCTCTGACCCCCGTGCTCTTACACAGGAGCTGGGATTTGATTGCGGGTCTTCATAACCAGGTGTTTTTGTGTATGCCGCCAACACTTAAAGGATGGCACCGCCTCCCCAGCTCTGAAATCCTAAATACACTAGACCAAACCTCAGGCTCTCAGAAAATATTTATACAGCAGACACAACTTTTGTGGAAATGAAAGAAACTTTCAAGTCCTTCTACAGCTCTTCAGACCAGAAACCCAGTTCTTTTGTTTTGTTTTGTTTTTTATTTTATCAAGAAAGGGTTTCTCTGTGGCTTGGGAGGCTGTCCTGGAACTAGCTCTTGTAGACCAGGCTGGTCTCGAACTCACAGAGATCCACCTGTCTCTGCCTCCCGAGGGCTGGGATTAAAGGTGTGCGCCACCAACGCCTGGCTGAAACCCAGTTCTTGCAGGAGCAGGTTACTGCTCCTCTTTCTGAACACTAGACCCCTGACCTCAGTCCCAAGCTCCTGTCTGCTCTCTCCACCATTATATTCCCATGGTCTCTTAACTTCTGAAGATTTCCCTTATCATCTGTGTGTGTGTGTGTGTGTGTGTGTGTGTGTGTGTGTGTGAGAGAGAGAGAGAGAGAGAGAGAGAGAGAGAGAGAGAGAGAGAGAGAGAGAGCTGAGTGAAAGAGTGTGGCGTGTGTAATGGAGAGAGTGTGTGTGCATGTGTGTGTGGTTGAGTGTGACTATTCGGGCATGTGTAAGAGAGGGTGGCATGTGTGGCAGTGGGGGTATATCACAATGGGGAACAGAGTCTGATGTCAGTAATCGAGTCACACATGGGCAAACAATCAAACCCTGTGGTATAATTCACTGTGGTTGACACTTAGAAGTAAGATTATGGGGATTTTATTTTTTCTTCAGATTGTTCTTTTTACAAGTTGTAACTGAAGTGACACCCTAGCCTCGAGCGAGCTGTCCTTTCTGGCTTGATGCTCCGAGCCTAGGCATCAGCAACATGCTATGTTGACATGTAGACTTATTTCCTGGTGTGGTTGACAAGTTGAGACTCCAGTTCCTTGGCAAAGGTTGGCTCCACTCACTGCCAGCCTTTTGTAACCTGCCAACTAGAAATAGGCTTCATCTATTTTAATGATCAGAGGCAAGAATCAAAACAAGAGTAATATTTTATGACATGTGAAAATGATATGAAATTCACATTTTAGTGCCCATAAAGAAGTTTTATTGGGGTACAGCCACGCTCATTTGTTATGCATTAGCTGTGGCTGTTTGCACGGGAGAAGACATCACAGAATATTGCTACAATCTTGAACTGAGGATGCTTTTCTAATCAAGATGTAAAAGTCAGAGGCCATAAAGAGATTGACAAATTTGATCTCATAAAACGTCAAGCCTTCTAAACAAAGTTAACACCATAAAACCCTTGTGAGACACCAGGAGGGAAGGAAGTTCAGGAAGAGTTAGCCACAACACCCAACAATGACACCCAACAATGCTGCCTCCAGCCACATGTCCTGCGCTCTTGACCAACACTGGGTAGAATAAATCAGAATAACTCTATGATCTCAAATGTGGAACCTAAGAAAGAAAAGTGAGTTTCTTAGAAACAGGGGGAAGAAAGGCTGAGAGGAGAGGGTGAAGGGACAGGGAAGGACAGAGAAAAAGGAGATCTGGGGCAAAGGGCCCGTTTTGCTAGAAGGAGGAATATGTTGCTTTGATTTGGTTTGTTTGTTTGTTTGTTTTTGTTTGTTTGTTTGTTTGTTTTTTTTGATTTTTCAAGACAGGGTTTCTCTGTGCAGCTTTGGAGCCTATCCTGGCACTCGCTCTGGAGACCAGGCTGGCCTCGAACTCACAGAAATCCGCCTGCCTCTGCCTCCCGAGTGCTGGGATTAAAGGCGTGCACCACCAACGCCCGGCTGGTTTGGTTTTTTCAAGACAGGGTTTTTCTGTGTAGCTCTGGAGCTGTCCTGGAACTAGCTCTTGTAAACCAGGCTAGTCTCAAACTCACAGAGATTCGCCTGCCTCTGCCTCTGGAGTGCTGGGACTAAAGGTGTGTGCCACCACCACCAGGCATAAGTTTTAGTAATCTACTGTACTGATGATCACAGTTAATGACAATGTTTATTATGCTTTAAACCTACAATGTTCCATGGAGACTGGGGAGATGCCTCAATGGGTAAGAATGTAAACCTGATGCTTGCAGGTGTGTAGCATCAGGACCTGAGGTCAAATCTGTAGCATCTATGCAAAATGCTGGGCCCAGCTGCTTACACACCTGTAACCCCAAGGCTGTAAGATTAGAGACAGGATAGCTGCTACTTCCTGGCTGCCAGCCTAGCAGTGAGAGACCCTGTCTCTGGGAACAAGGTGAAGTGTGGTATTTGAGACATAAATGTCCTCTGGCCTCCATGCATACCTGTGGTACACACACACACACACACACACACACACACACACACACACACTGTTCCCCACTGGTTCATGTTTTAAGCATCAGTTTTTCTGGCTGATGAAACTGTTTGGGGAAGCTGAGAGAGGGCCTGTGTGTCAGAAGTAGTTGTCCAGGACCAGTCCCTTGATACACCCAGCCTGGCTTTCTGTTTCCCAATATTGCCTGGCAAACCAGCCTCCACGTCAAGCTCCCTCAGCCCACCTTCCTCAGCCTTACCTGTCCCCCATAATAAGCAGAGATCTCTGAAACCAGGAGCCAACAGAAGCCCTTCCTCCCTTAATTATTTCTAGCAAGTGTCTCATCACAGCTGTGAGCAAAGAAACATGATCTCTGCACTGCAGCAAGAATAGACTTTCAACCTTCTCATGACAAATAAAAGGAGTGTTGGTAAGAGGCACTGGTTATGGTAATCAGCTGTTGAACCTTTCCACAATGGATCAAAATAACAGGTTTTATCATTTTTGTTGACTTAATTTTTTTAAAAAGATTGATGTTTAAGCATTCTTTGTAGGGGAGGTGGGCTGAGAGGGGACCTCAGGAGTCTCACTATGTAGCCAGGTTGACCTGGAACTCCAGTCTGTCCTGTCTCAGCCTCCCCAGGAGCCTGGATTGGATGGGGATTCCCAGTCAGAGGCTGACCAAGCAAAACTTGCTGAAGTCTTTTGATGCCATTTTGCTAGACAAGGAAGAACAGGGTTGGGTTTACAATTTTACTCGAAGTCCTACTGTTAGATGTTTGCTAAACCTTGGGTATTATTGACAACATCTGTGTTGATTCAAATGACAGGCATTAACCCTTTGCTGCCTCCTCAGGGGGAACTAGGCTAGCTTACTACAGTGACCTAGCCTCTGCATCTGTTCACCTACCTTTGGGTAAATATGAGACTGAGGGGTTCAGGATTTGACCCCATGATATTCTCACCGTGAGCTGCAGTGATCTTTTGCTTGTGCCCAGAGGATGTTAAGCCTACTGGGAACAATGGTTTAACCATTATCTTTCTTAGTACATAAGGAAGCCATTTTCCTCTTCCCAAAGATGAGGGCCAGTGGTATAGGTCATACAGCATGTATGTCCTAGTTGTTCTGGGCATCTCTAAAGAGCTAGTTTTCCTCTGCTGAGGAAGTATTCCCCAAGCGTGTTCTCCCCTCCCCAGCTAGGCTAAGTAGACTTGGCATTTTCACTTGTGAGCCTACCTGGGGCATTTGCATAAACTAAACCGTCTGAGATGTGCACTTCGTGCTTTGAAAGAGCATTTTCAGGCCCAGGTGCAGCTTAGTGATGGATCACACAATTGGCAAACAAGGCCTGAGTTAAAATTCCCAGCACCACGTTAAACACAAGGGTTTTTACCGGCTGTGAGAGCTGCCAGGCCCAGGCCCTGGGCCCAGCGCCTTCCATGAGAATGGGAAACTAGCCTCAAGCCTAGCTCCTGTGCAAACTGCCTTTGCAACTCCACAAGGTAGGCACCCCAGTTCCCAATTCTGTCTCTGGTGTCTGGCTGGGGACCCTAGTGGGCTGCAGTGATGCTCTGAGGCTACTGACTGAGGCAGGCCTGGGGCCGCTCCCATGGGAGTGTCTAGGCAAAACGCTGCCAGTCAGGGGCCTGGCATCGAGAGTGCTTTTGAGCTTTTGGGATTCGGAGTTGTTTGACCCTAGGCAGAACCTCCGAACTTCAGCTTCGGTTTCCTTCCCTAACTGCATCTCGGAGCCCGTGAGGTCCCTCTGACCATGCCCTGGCTTCCACGCTGCTCACCGCCCCAGCCTCCCAGCAAACCCATAAAGGCCTCCGTGAAGACTCCCAGGAAGCTGAGGGGAGCTTGAATTTCAGATAAATCATAATTGATCAGGGCGATATAGGTCCCTAATGTCACCCCAGGCTCCTCATAGGAATTTATTGTCTGCTTGGATTTCTGATGTCACTACACCTGATTAGCTCAGCCTGGCATCCTGGCCTACCCAGTGTAGGATAGATGTGATCTGCTGAGCTACCCATGACATCGCCCCCCCCCCAGATCAGACACCCCTGTACTCACCATATCGGCACCGGTACTGACAGACCCCGTTCTTCCCTCCCAGGAGCTCCATGAAGGAATCAACGTAGCTGTTGACCGACTCGAAGCTGCCCCGCAGGTGTCGCAGGCCCCAGTCCGAGTAAGACTCCTCTCCCTTGAGGCTGGGGTCGCTCTGAGCCAGGCTGCCCGCCAGGCCAAGCCACAGGAGGAAGAAGCAGCAGAGCAGCTTCATCCTGCACACAGGTAGGACGCTGCTCTCGTCCCCCACCCCAGCCAGGGTCCCAGGAAGCCTGGGGACACACACACACAGCCCCGTCCGTGCCTGTGCTTATCGCAACAGTCAGTCGGTGTTCCCCAGAGGTGGACTTTAAACACAGCCATGGAGGCCGGGAGCAGATCCGGGCGATTAGAGAGGACAAAGGTGACACCGTGGGAGGGCCTGCATAAGGATGGCTCAAGAGGGGACTTCCCAGTGGACCCCGAAGAGCTGGAGGAGGTGATCGCAGTCCGGGAAGGGGGAAAGGGAACCCCGGGATTCTGCTGTACACTTGGGCACCTCAGGCTTCTTCGCTGCAGAGCTTGTCCCAAGATCCCAGCCACACCCTTGAGCCACTTCCTCCTCTACACCTGTCCTGAGGGTGGCCCAGGAGCGTGTGTGCGAGTCTCTGTGGCCTGATTTGAGGTCACCTTCAGCAACAGACAGGTTGCCAGAGCCTAAACCCTAAGTGTGCTTCGGTGAGAGTTCAGGTTTTGAGCCATTTCTGCCTGAGTCCCTCATTGTGTTTAACCCAAACCCTTCCATCTGGTAAAGGTCCTGATATCCTCTCGGGGTGAATCCCTTTCCGAATCTGTAGGATACTCAGCGCCGTCTCCTAAGATCCCAAGGCCTGCAAGGTGGCCCCCAGGTCTATTCTGGGAACTCTGCCTCTGGTGGTGGTGATTCCCCCCCCCCCCTTTCGTTTTGAGGCCGGTGAGAGTCCAGGCTATTATCAGAAAGCCTGTTTGAGATTCCAAGCTTTGAGAATGCTCGCTGGAGTCCAGTGTTTGGGCATCACTTTTAGGGTAGTTTGCTCTTGGTCACGTGAAGAAAAACCTATAAAATCACTACTCTGGAAAACGACACTGCTGTGTAATCATTCCGCTGCTTTCTCAGAGGTCATGGAAGCCCCGCAGAAAATCCTAAACACAGTAACATCCTCATTTTAGATAGGAGATGTGTTCATCTAAAGACTTAACATCCAGGAAGGGTAGTGGTTAAAATGTGTTTCCAGTGTGCACGATTATTGTGTGAATTTAAAAAGAAAACGGTAATAATGCCACCCGCCCGGTATTTAAAGCGTTTGCACATGGAGAGCCAATCAGTCTCTTGTCTGCCTCAATCCCTCTCCCGCTCTCCTCTCCTGTCTCTCTCTGACTTTCTTCCTGTTTCTGTGTTTCTCTGTCTCTCTCTCATCCCTCTTTTCCTCCCCCACCCCAGTCACACCTATTTTAGCCAAGGTTGTTATCTCTATTTGAGACATAAGAAATCATGCAGAGGTGAAATGACTTCATCACGTTGGACCGGTGTCTGACCAAGGCTGGGCAAGGGCCAGTGACATAACTGATGAGATCATATCAAAACAAAACCGTGGAAATATTTTTTTTCCCAAAAAGTAAGGAAAACTTAGGGCAGAGGTCAGTGATGGGCCCCATGCCTAGTGTGTACAATGCCCTGGAGTTTTATCTCCAGCTACCCCAAAAAGAAAAAGTGTCATTAAAGATACAATAAAATACGAAGGTTTTAAAAAGCTTTTATAATATATATATAATATATATATATGTATATATATAAATTATATATATTTTTAGCTATGTGTATCCACGTGAGGGGATGTGTGTTCGCACGTGAATACAGGAGCCTTTGGAGGCCAGAGGATGTCCTGGAGCTGGAGGCTGAGTCACGGGACATGGGTGTCAGGAACTGAACTAATAAAAGCAGTGTGGGATATTAACTGCTAAGCCCTGATTTTTTTCCCTTAAAAATGTCTTATTTTTTAAATGCAATAATAATAATGGTAATACACGAGGAACATGTGTACAATACAGAACATTTTAATAACATATGCTATGCTGGTCATGAGAACTTTACTGACAATTCTTTTACATCACTGAAGCTTAGACTTACCACTGCTTCAGTTCCAATGTAACTGAAATTCCAACTTCTCTGAAAAGACACAAGTAATACCGTATAATTTTTAGTTTCACATAGGACTTTATTATTTATTTATTTATTTATTTATTTATTTCGCTTATGCAGTTGTTAGTGGAACTGTTGATAGTGTTTTTCCCTTGTATTTTTTTAAACTAAGTTGGGGAGGGCATGTTTATTATTTTAAGTATTTTTGAGGGTATAGTGTGTGACGTTAAGGATATTAAGGTATTCCTATATGACCGGCACTATGACCATGTCCAAAGCTTTTTTATTATCCTAAACTGAGATTCCGTCTGCCTCTGCCTTCCTAATGAAGTTGGCTAGTCTCAGTGCTTCAGAGAAACAGAATATGTAATGCGGCCTCTTGTGTTGGCTTCTTTCACTTAGCAAGGTAGTTTCAAGCCCGTGCGTGCAGTGTGTGCCAATGCCTCCTTACAGAGGCTGAAGTCCCTCTGAGTAGTGGCGTAGATTCTGAGTCCCTGCCTCCCAGTTCCTTTGACACGCTTGTCTGGAATTGAATTTTCTGGATGTGTTAATTTTATTTAACCTAGGTCTTTGTCTGTGGCTATACTGATACAGATTAGAAGGTTCCCATTCCTCCACAGCTTTCTAAAATTATTTTTGTCAGTTTATGCATTCCATAATACATTATGTAATACTTTACATCAACCATCCGTCCATCCACCAGTCATCTCCTTTCTTGGCTTTCTGACTGTGCTTTTAAATCCATGGTTTTAACCAGGTGCCCTCATGGGCATGGGTGTGAATTATTCACTGAAGCATGGGTAGCTCTCTGATGGCCATATCACCATGACTTCCTCTCTCCCAGTCCCGCTTCCCTGATTGCCAATAGTTCCCCTGGGTGCAGCTGGGCCCCATCACCCCCTCCCCATCTGTGACTGAATGTTTACAATGGAGTCTCTTGCATACCCTGTGCAGGCAGCTCTAGCTGCTGTGAGTTTGTGAGTGTTGTGGCCACGTCATGCCCATAAAACAGCATTTCCTGGCACTCCTTCCCATCATCTTTACACTCTTCCTGCATCCTCTTCTGGAATGTTCTGAGCCTCAGAGGGGGTGTGATACAGGTGTTCCATTTAAGTCTCATTCAATAGTTGCTTATCCATAGCACCATGTGTCTGGCATTAGCCAACATTTACTACAAAGAGAAGTCTCTTTGGTCTGGGCCGTACTGGCCAATGGTTATAAACATAAACACAGTGGTGACAGTTTTTACAATGTGTCTACTTACCAGAAGTAGTAGGTTCAACCCCGAGCACAGCATCTTTCCACCCTTGGGTCTTCAACTGGGTGCATGGTAATCAAGTATCCCTCTTTCCTATGGGTCTAGTCTTGTTCTTCTATGTGTTGATGTCCATTTTTCCCCTGCATCATTTGTTGGAAAGGCTGTCTTTTCTCCAGTGTAGCTTTTGTGCATATTTGTCAAAAATCAGGTGACTGTGTTCATGCAGACTTCTATATGTATGCTCTATTCCATTGATCAGGGCATGGGTGCAATACCATGCTGTTTTGTTTTTTTTTTATGTTAGATCTGTGGCATGACTTGGAATCAGATATGGTGATACCTTCAGAGTGTTCATTTTGCTCAAGATTGTATATAGGCTGTCCAGGGCCTTTTGTGATTCCATATGAATGTTAAGATTTTTTTTTCTATGTCCTAAAGAATGGTCCTGAAGTTTTTATTGGGATTGCACTAAATCTATAGATTGCTTTTGGTAGGATGGCTGTTTTCACAATGTTAAATTTTCTGATCCGTGAATGTGGGAGGTATATTCTATACTTTCTTAAACTTTTCATTGTAGAGATCTTTGGTTTCCTTGGTTAGGTTTGTGTGCACTCGAGTGTGTGTACACCTGTGTGTGCACATGCATGTTGTTTGTGAGATTGTTCTCCTGATTTCTTTTTTTGTTATTTGTATATGTGAAAGCTACCAATTTTGTACTCTGCCACTTTGCTGAAAATGTTGATCAGCTTTCAGAATTTTCTGGTTGAGTCTTAGTTTATTAGATATGGACATCTATCATTTGCAAATAGAGATACGTTGCCACTAGAGATACTTTGCCACTAGAGATACAGATGTCTGATGTCTCCATATTTGTATCTCTTTTGTTACTTCTCTTGTCTTACTGGTCTGGCTAAGACTTCAAGCGCTATGCTGAATAGGAGTGGAGAGAATGAACACTCTTGTCCTGTTCCTGGTCTAATGGGGATGCTTGTAGTTTTTCTTTTAGCATGATGTGAGCTATAGGTTTTTCATAGTAGTCTTTATTATATTGAGATATGTTCCCTCCATCCCTAGCCTCTCCAAGGCTTTTATTGTGAAATGATACTGGATTTTGTCAAAGGTCCTTTCTGTATTTATTGAATGATCATGTGATTTTTGTCTATGGGTCCATTTATGTGACAAGTTATGCTTACTAATTTGTGTGTGTGTTGAAACTTCCCTGAACTTATGGAATGAAGCCAACTTGATCATGATGAATGATCCTTTCGATGTGGTCTTGAATTTGATGTGCCTGTATTTTACTTAGAATTTTTGCATCTGTGTTCATCAAGGAGATCAATATATAATTTTCTTATTTTGTTGGGTCTTTATCTGGCTGTAGTATCAAGATAACATTGGGGGCCGGCCGTTGGTTGCGCACGCCTTTAATCCCAGCACTCGGGAGGCAGAGGCAGGTGCATCTCTGTGAGTTCAAGGCCAGCCTGGTCTCCAAATCGAGTGCCAGGATAGGCTCCAAAGGTACACAGAGAAACGCTGTCTTGAAAAACCAAAAAAAAAAAAAAGATAACACTGGGTTAAAAAATAATTCTGAAGCTTTTCTCCCTTGAGTAGCATTGGTGTTCTTCTTTGAAAGTATCAGAATTCATCAGCAAAGCTAACTGGTTTTTAAACTGACCTGGTTTTAATTGGAAAAAAATTATTACTGACTTCAATTTCATCACTGGTATATATATATATATATATATGTATATATATATATAATTTTTGGTAAGTCATATGTATATAGAAATTAACCCAT